TAAACAATCAGTCTACTAAAAAACCTTTCAAATCTGGAGAATGTATATTCAAAACTTAAGAAGCATGAAAAAAGAGGATCCGCTGCAGATTTGGCACAGAAACAAGAGTTTAAAGTTTACCTGAAAAAAACATTTTGGGCTGGCATTCCTGAACTTAAAAATACAATTAAAAATAACAAAAAGATTCAGACAAACTTAAGGATTTAGAGTTTCTGGAGGATCAAGAAGGGGAAAAAAGATTTATGCTTAGATCAGAAGATAAAAAGTACAGAAAAAAACGGTGTATTTCTTAAATATATAAAAAAAAAGTTTGCAAGGCTTTTTTAAGCAACTTACTTACAATTTGCAAGCCACTTAAAAAAATTTAAAATAAAAACAGCTAAACAAAAATAACAATGTTCACTCACTATTTCAATTTCTAATCTAATTAAATTAAATTATTAAATATTAAATTCTTTTGACATTTTTAGGCAACAGTGGGTAGCAGAAAGAGAAAGCAGCGTGTGAAACAATTAATAATATAATAAAAAATTAGAGGGTGCAAATAATATTGAGATTGCTACAGATACTAGAGAGGACTCCTTGTGTGATTCTGATTTTATTCCTGGAGAGTAGTTTGAAAGAAAACCTTTTTAATAATAAGTCACTGCTGAAATTCCCATAGATGTTTTCGCTGGTAATGCAGCTCTTAAAGCTGCAATCAGTGATTTTTCTCCAAGTGTTTTGCATATAGTTATAGGTGCAATTCTAACTCAATTAGAAGCTGATCTGATAATTTTCAAATGCAGTCAGTCTACAGCAGCTAGGACGTATAATTTAAAGACTCCAAGTTTTTTAGTAAAATGGTTAACACCCATGGGAGGATATATATATTTATATATATATAAATATATATTCCTGGTTAACACCCATGGGAGGGGGTTAGTGGTTTTGTGACTACTCATACCAAACTTGCTACTAAAGTGTTAGGATTTTGTGATGGGAGAGGTCAAAAATGGTAGAAAGTTGTGTGTCATAATATAAGGATGACTATATATATATATATATATATATATATATATATATATATATATATATATATATATATATATATATATATATATATATATATATAAATTTTACCTGGTTTCTATTATATACATTGTATATTATTATTTATATCTATATTGAATGTTATTATGTTATTTGTTTAGGTCATGTCCAGGTGGTAAAAGCCATATATGCTTACAGTGCTACAAGAGTAAGATTTTTTGATAGTTTTATATCAGAAATAAAATGATTATTATTTAAACTTAGAAAATAAGTTTAAAGTTAAATTTAAAATAAGATTGTTAATTATGTGGTAAGAATATGATAGTGGTAGAGCACTCATATTAGAAATATTGTAAGTTTGATCCCCACCACGTCCCTGGTACTAGGGACGTGGTGGGGATCAAACTTACAATTTACAGATTTATACTAGATTTGTATAGAGTTTATACAATATAAACTCTATACAAATCTAGTATAAATCTTATACTAGATTTGTATAGAGTTTATATTGTATAAAACAAAATTCTGTATATGTATTTTTTCGAGAAAAGCTTAAACATTTAATTCCAATTTTCATTTCATAAATAATCTTCAGTGACGTCATAAACTAAAAAACTTTTTTAACTGAAATGCATCAAGAGTGTTTTATTATTACAACCAAAAGACAAATAAATTAATGGAAAAACCAAACTCATGCATAAATTAAATTATGTAATTTTAATATGCATAAATTAAATTATGTAATTAATAAAATTCATGCATAAATTAAATTGTGTAAAACCTGTGTTTTTTTTTGTTTAGCCTTTGATTCACTTTTGTATGGATGTCATGTTTTACTTCATGACAAACGGTCAGCCTAATCCATTTTGTATTTTTTATTTTCATAGGGGGATGAATTATCTTTTGAGGAAGGTGATCTGCTTTATATAATTGATAAGGTAAAAATATTAGTTTTTTATTTTTAAAGTAATTAATCTAATTATACTTATCAACTATCATTTTTTAATTTTCTTTATGTATTCATTTACATACAGAAAAATTTGTACTTAATATCAATATGTATATGTTTGATTATTTTCTACCACTAAAGTAGATCTACCGCTAAAGGTTTTTTTTTTGTATGATGTTGATAGTATTTATTTCAAAATTGAAAAAAATATTCGTGAATAATCAACTTGAAAAAAAAAACAATGAATAATTAAAATTTTAAGATCTTTTTTTAATATACATATATGTAATAAAAAAATAAAAGATAAATGTAATAAAAATTTATAAATATTTTTTGTATTTAAAATTAAAAAGTTTTTCTTTTATAAAAATGAATTTTTTAAATATATTGTGTTAAATCATATATAGTATCTTTTTTATTTTTCCTCATTTTTTATATAGTTTTTAAAATTAGTTATTTTTTTTTATTCTTTAAAAAGTTTTGTCACAATGTGCTTTTTCACAAATAATACACTGACACAATACGTTTGATCTTGTTGGTATTGTAATTATAACATGAAATATTAAAATGTCCATTAAGACCTAGTGCTTTTCTTCTTTTCAACTTTTATGAGAAGGTTTCTTCACCAGCCACAGATACCTAAAGGTAAGTGATAGTTTTCTGGATCATAATTCTCAATGAAGTATTTTTGAACTCTTGGAAGTGTGGAATCAGTATTACATGGGAAGATGCTTGAACCTTTTTGAAAACGAACCAAACAAACTTTAACCCAATTTTCATTATGAGAAAAAACTTAATCCTCTTATATGAGAAAAATAACTTTGTGTAAAAAAAGTTGCAGTGACCAATAAGAGATGCATTATTGAATAAATGCGTTGCAATACAAAACATTTAAATTGTATTTCTGCAAATTCATATGATTATCACGATCATGATGATGATCATAAGTCATCATTTAGCATACTTGCTTCGGAGGGTTTTTCACCTGTATTTCTGATTTTTAAAAATTTTTTAAATTATATTTAATGATAATAAAATAAAATGTTTATAACAGTTATAATAAATATGTATAATAAAATTGTTTAACAGTTTAATTTTGTATTATGCATTGTTATGTTACACATTTTTGAATATAGACCCAATCGAACGGGTGGTGGAAAGCTCGTGTTGGAAATAAAACTGGTCTTATACCAAGCAATTATGGTATGTTTTAGTAAGAGCAGTTTTTATAATATGTTAATATTTTATTGTAGTAGTATTATTTATGTTATACTAATTAAATTATGAATATTAATATCTGAGTACTATGTTCTATAAGATTGTCTCATAACAATATGTTTCAGGACTCCAATTAACGCAAAAAAATCTAATTGCAAAAAAAAACACTTTCAACCTCCCACTTATCCCTGACTCTGCTCTGTTGTAAAGGAGGGGGGTTACGTTAGTAAAAAAGTGTATTTTTTCAACATTAGTTTGTAATTGTTATTTTTTTAACATAATACCTGTCATTTTTAAATATTATCTTATAATTTTCTCGTTTGGCTGAGTTTAAAATAGCAAGTAACGCATATAATACTATTAAGGATCATGTTTTTACTTACATGATACTTAAAAAAATAAAAAAACGCAAATATTACAATATTTAAACTACTTTAATTAGGTCTAGAAAACTATTTAATATGTTCATGCTGATAATAAAACACGTGTTATTTTCACATGTGATTTAGTATTAAATTATTTTTGTAAAAAGTTATAAAACAAAAATAAAACAAACTGCAATGTTTTGACAATATAAGAAGCTTGTGATAATATAAAACAATTTTGTGACGCTGTTCATATTGCTGGGTTATAAAGTTAAGTTTTTATAACATTAATAACATAAAACGCTTTTAAAATAAAACAAATTAAATAAGTAGAAATGTTTAATTAAAAAAAAAAATTCATAAGCATGCATATCGTAGACCAAACAAGTAAGGTCGAAGTAAAGTACATTGGATACCACTTTTTTTATTTTATAATTTAGTTTTTTATAATTTGTTGCTATTAATATTTAAAATATAAGTATGATGAATGTACTATCAAAAATTTAAGTATAAATAATTTTTTCTTTCAAATGGTTTTTAGTTAATGTTTTCATACATTTTTTTCGTTTTAATTATTTTATAATAAAAAGTATGAAAAAAATTTGGTTTAATAATTTGATTTATATTTTGTTAAGTATATGCTTAAATTATTTTTTTGGAAAAAAGTTTCCTTGAACAGAAGTAAAATAATTTATTTTTTTTTATTTAAATTTTTTATAATTTAATTTTTGATTTAAGGTTTGCAAAACTCACTGGTTTAATTTTTGCAATAGTGTTTTTTTAAAAACTTCTTTCAAGAAACAAAAAAAAGTTTACTAATCAAAATGATTACAATTTAAATAAAGTTTTCTTCCTTACTTGCACTATGTTCTAAATTTGATATTGTTACTGTAGCTAGATATACGCTTAACTTTCAGGAATGACCCTCGCTATGCCACTGAGTATTACAGACGCTGCTGCAATCAAATTTATAATTATTGAACGTTAAATTTAAAAAAAATTTTTTTTTTTTTTTATTTCAATTTTTAATCACAAAAATATTTGAATGAGAGAAAAATTTTTTTTGTTCAAATAAATTTTTTTTTAAAAAAAATCCTTAAACAAGTATTTGTCCGTATTTATAAAATCCGTATTTATAAAAAATGTTTAATAATAAATAAGAAATTGATATCACTTTAAATTAAATTTAAATATTACAAAAATGGTATCGGGTTTTTCATATTCTATTTGACATTTCTTGTTAAAATAATGTTTAGTTAAAAGCTTTATTATGTTTGTTTGAATTACCTTTGCATGTCTTTGTGTATATTATGTAAATTAATATAGTTGATGAGTTAATATTTGAGTAACTGTAAATTACTGTTGTAACATGACTGATTGTTTTGATTTGGTTTATTAGTAAATTTGCGGCGATGTACTTTATCCATTCAGTAAATCAAAATAAATATAACTTTAACAGGTTTCGTTAAAGCGAAAAACATTGAAACAAAAAAGTTACTGGTTTCTATTAGCATTATATAACTATTAGAAATTTTTTTAAATAAAAACAAATTTGATATATATTTTATTATACTCAAAGTAGTAAAGTTCATAATATAAAATTGTTGATAAAATAATAATTTAAATTAATAATAATGAGTTAATTTGGTGCAATGTTTTAAAAACAAAGATAAAAACCAGGCTGTTTTGTTAAAAAAAAAAATGAAAAAAAAATTTGCTTTAACGTTTTTTCCTATTTAAACTTTTTGCTTAAATGACCTTTTAAAATATTATTGGCTTCCATGGAGAGATTTAAGGTAATTTAAATTCAAAAGTGCTTTACGTTGAATGAAAATCTCTGTGCAAAAGAGCAAATGATCATTCAAAAGATAAATTTAGCGTAACATACTTTATGAACCCTAATAAAAAATCTTAAACAAAAACATTACTTTTAAGAATTGCCAAAAAAAAAAAGCTAAATTAAAAATTTTTTAAAATATTTTTTTATTCTTCTCAATTAGATTTTTCTTAAAAAAATGTATATAATATTTCTTTTAAGAAAAAATCAATCGCAAAGGTGTGAAAAGCAAATCACGATACGCTTCATCGAGCCCTGTGATTTATACATGACTTTGTTAATTATGAAACAAGTTATTTGGTCACTCTTTTTTAATTATGAAAACAAATTACTGGGTTGCTCTTTGTTAATTAAAGTAATCGTTTTCTTTTAACAATCTCAGAATCTTTTGAAGTTTGCATCATGTATTAAGTAAAATGTCTTGCTTTATTTGTTTATTTGTGATGTTTACATGATGTTTATTTGTGATGTTTACACTTAACAATATAGTATAAGTGTAATGTTACAATACAATAAAAATTAACAGATCTTTTTAAAAATATGTGTTAAAAAAACACAGACTTTAATTAAAAATCATAAATACAGTAATATAAAAACTGAAATGTTGACTATAGATTTTAATTTCTGATACAAACATATAAAATCAATTACAAAGAAAAATATATAAAACTTCAGTTGTGTTAACTAATATCGTTTATTGCATTGAAATTGATTTGTTCTATTTATATTGGAACTTAACAGGTATGCCTGTTTAGGATTAGGATTAGTCATTAGTTTTATCATCAGGCTCATCATTATTACCCTTCTACTAGTAACATGTAGTGTTACCGGGTAGTGTTACCTCAGGGATTATCTTTTTCGGGATATATCAGGACTTCTGGATATTTCTTTCAACTTTTAGTTTTTTCTGATTTCCAAAAAAGTCTTATGTAAACACAAGTTTGAATAAATATTTTTGTAACATAAATATTTAAAAAATTTTTTAAGTCATTACCCATACAAAAAAAAAAAGAAGTTTCAAAAAAATTGAAGAAACCATTAGTTTAAAGTTACGTTAAGACAAATATGAGGGAAAAAATTTTCGGATTTTTTTTAAAATACTAGTAACATGTCGTTTTAACATGTAGTAGGTCATATTAGTAGGGTTGTCCCGGATAGCATTTTTTAATTATCCGGCCGGATATCAGATACCCGGATATTTAACAATTATCCGGTCCGATACGGATAATGTAAAATAAATATTATATTAAGACAAAAGTTACCATAATAACCCTTCAAAATGGCAAGTTTCATTTGGAAACTTTTTAAAATTAGTGATAACTGTTATTCTATAGCTATTTGCATTCCATGTGGAAAGCAGATAAGCAGGGTGTTGTAGTAAATTTGGTCAGCAGTCAAAAATCAAAGAAATATAACTGGACTTTCATCAGTTGTTATTAATAGAGCTACTAGCTTCACCACCATTATCTCCAATCATTTAACGCCAAAATCCAAAAAAAAAAAAAAAAGTTTGATTTGGAAGAGAATGACTTTAACTCCGGTTTTTATGAACTTGCAGAATTTGAAGAAAATTTAGGTAAGAAAATCTCTTTCTGTTTATTAAAAAAGTTTTTAATAATTTTAAAAACTTTTTTTGATAAACAGAAAAACTTTTTATTAAGTTTTTTTTTAATAACAGCTATATTCTGCATGTTGTGGGTTTGCTGTTTTAAGTATTATATACTTGTTATTGAATGAAAATAAATAAATCTTCTTTAGTATTTAAATTCTTTAATATTACAGAACAAAATGGTGAAAAAAATCCTGATCAAGTCTCCCTTGTAAAAGCTGCGTAAAAAGTTGATTTTTTCTTTAATCACTCGATGATAGAAAAAAAGAAGACGTTTTTAGTTATTGGAAACACGAAGAGAAGTTTCCATTTCTAAAAAAGTCAACTCTTAAATTATTAGCACCTCCAGCATCCTCTGTATTTTCGGAGCAATTGTTTTCCAAATATGGAAATATTTACAAGAAAAAGCGATCAAGGCTGTTACCTCAACGTGGAGAAATGTTACTATTTATTCATCATAATGGAAATAAATTTATAAATGAGTGATAAACTGATGTATTTGTTGCGTTTAATTTTAATAATATATGAATAATAAATTATTATTAATAATAATAACAATATTGAATAGAAACCATTAACATTAAATTATTTAAGAATATAACATTTCTAAATTTTTAAATAACATTAACTTGAAATATCCGGTTTATTGAAAACCGGATAATGTTATTATCCGGCCAGATAACGGATATCGAATAATACTGATATCCGGCCGGATATCAGTATTATTCGATATCTGCTATATTGCTTATCAGGGACACCCCTACCTATTAGTACAATTACCAGTACAATAGACCTCAGGTCCTACTGCCGCATATGATTCACTTTTCTAGGCAAAGGCTGCCTAGGGGGTCTTGCTTGAGTAAAGGCTAAAGATGTCTCCATAAAAATACTTAAACTACTATTAATAGTAGTTGAATGCAGATGTTAACTGCATCCGATTACTGCCTTAAAGAAAAGAGTCTACAGAAAGATTTTAAGGTTAAGCAGAAAATATTTTTTTACCTTGTACTCTTTTTTCATAAGTTGGTAAACCTGTAAATCTTATAAGTTAGTAAACCTGTTGGTATACCTGTTGTTAAACCTGTTGGTAAATCTCATAAGTTGTTAAACCTGTTAAACTTCTTGACTCCACCTTTAGGCTTTTGCTTGTGTTTACTTGAGAATGGTTAACTTAGTTAAATGACTCATCATTTTGCAATTTTATTATTTATCATATCAAATATTAGTTTCACTTTTTTATTAAATGTCACTAAATTAAAATTTTTTTTCAAGTTACTAATATTACTTTTTTTTTTAATCTCATTTAAATAGAATGATAATAAGCTACTACTCAGCACAAAGTGTATACTTTTTCTTTATATTTAATAGTGTCCTAGTAAAATGTTCTATAGAATTTCTATAAATATTTGAAACATATAATCGAAATTCTAATAGAATTTCTATAGAAACTCTATAATTTTTATAAAAATTGCTACCAAAAACACTTTTTTCTATATAAACTATATATATAATAAACATATGTAGAAAAAAAAGTTGAATGTATAGACTTTTAATAGCAATTTCTATAAAAATTAATAAAATTTATATGGACCATATTTTTTAAAAGTTCATTGAAATTTTATAGAATTTTTTTTCCTGGTAATGATTTTTATTGACTGATTCTGTAATGGTATTTTAAATCTAAATTAAAAAATTTTCTTTTTAGTTTCCTATTTTAACTAGAAGACAATTAAGTTAAAATTTAAAAACTTTGTGTGGAAAAAAAAAAGGGCTCAATTTTATTGTTTTTTAGGAGTCCTGAAATCTATTTTTAAACTCTCAATTTATTTAAGGATGTATATATATATATATATATATATATATATATATATATATATATATATATATATATATATATATATATATATATATATATATATATATATATATATTTATGTTTATATATTTTTTTATTTAGCTTTTTAATTTTTAGTTGACGAAAATACTGAGTCGATTGACAATCCTTTACATGAAGCTGCTAAACGAGGTTATTGTTGTATATCAGTTATTATATTTTATATGATTACTATATAATACTATTATTACTATTACTATTATTATTATTATTGTTGTTGTTATTATTGTTATAATATTATTGTTATTGTTATTGTTACTAATTTCTATATAATATATATATATATATATATATATATATATATATATATATATATATATATATATATATATATATATATGTATATATATATATATATATATATATATATATATATACATATATATATATATATATATATATATATATATATATATATATATATATATATATATATATATATATATATATATATATATATATATATATATATATATATATATATATACTCATATAGTGTCGCTTTAAGAGCATTTTATTGTAAAAAAAGTCTCTTACGACTACAATTTTAATTACCTCGTCTCTTAAGCTGTTTTTGATTGTCATCGAAATGTCAAAGCAATTAATTTATGCGGAAGTACATTAAATTTAATTGTTTTTTAAAAAATTTTTAAAAAACCGCAATTATAACGACTAGAAAGTTTTTTTTAATTAGTGGTGTTTTTGTTATTGATTTAATAAAAAACATTTTTTAAACATGCGTAAATGTTGCTACATCGACTATCTTATAGCCTGACTCGCAACGGAGTGCTGCTACATCGACTGACAAATAGCCTGACTCGCAACAGAGTGCTGCTACATCGACTGACAAATAGCCTGACTCGCAACGGAGTGCTGCTACATCGACTGAAAAATAGCCTGACTCGCAAGGGAATGCTGCTACATCGACTGACAAATAGCCTGACTCGCAAGGGAGTGCTGCTACAACGACTGACAAATAGCCTGACTCGCAAGAGAGTGCTGCTACATCGACTGAGGGTTTGGTTTGGCCAGGCAGTCTATCAATTAAAAAAAAAAATTTAATTTTTAAAACTTTTTCTGGTCTAGTTTATTAACGCGCTCTTTAAAACTACAGTTTATGGGAAATATTTTTTGATGCTACGCAAGAGACATGCAAGACTATATATATATATATATATATATATATACATATATATATATATATATATATATATATATACATATATATATATACATATATATATATATATATATATATATATATATATATATATATATATATATATATATATATATATATATATATATATATATATATATATATATATATATATGTATATATGTATATATATTTATATATATATATATATATATATATATATATATATATATATATATATATATATATATGTATATATATATATATATATAAATATATATATATATATATATATATATATATATATATATATATATATATATATATATGTGTATATATATAAAAAGATGTTTACATTTTTATCTATAAATTGTAAAATTTATAAAAATAAATTGAATATTTTTAATGTTTTTCATTGTATATTACTATTTGTATTAAAAATCGACTTTGGAAATATTGCAAGTGCAGAGTTCAGCATACAATTTTGTTAATAATATTTTGCTATATTTTCTCTAGCGCATTTGAGCGTTGATTTAACGTTATATTTCAACCTTTACTAGACGTCTTTGAGTCACGTTAAATCGACGTTTTACTACCAACGTTACAAATCCTTGCAAAATCGACTGCTTTAACAACGTTAAAGTAACGCTTTTCAAGTAACGTTTTTTCAACGTTAAGTTGCGGCGCCTATGCAACCCTTTTTAAGTAACGCTTTTTCAACGTTTAGTTGAGACATTTTTGTAACGCCTTTTAGTAACGTTTTTTCAACGTTACGCAATAACGTTTAATCAACGTCTCTTTAACATCGTGACATCTTTGCAAAATCGATTACTTTGTCAACATTTCCGCAACACCTTTTGCGACCGGTTTTCAATGTTTATTCAACGCTGACATGTTTGCTGGGTATATATATATATATATATATATATATATATATATATATATATATATATATATATATATATATATATATATATATATATATATATATATATATATATATATATATATATATATATTTATAAATATACGCATATAGATATATATTTGGATATGTGTGCATAAGTGTGTATATATGTAGCAGGCATGGTCGAGAAGCGGGAGCGATCGTTCTCGATTGCTGACCACGTAAATAATATTTAGTTGCGAAAAGCTGGCCAGATTTTTTAGTCGCTTTGAGAACATTTTAAAAAGCAAAAAAAAAAAAGCGCCTAAGATTAATTGGACCGATGAGAGACAATTACAAAAAAAAAAAAAAAAAATTAGGTAAATAAAATATCTTTAAACGCGAAAAAGCTAAATAAATTACGTTTAAAACAAATACTTTCAAATTATCGCTCTTTTATAATTTTTTTTATAAAATTAGGCGATGTTTTTTATATAAAGTAACAAATTACGATTGTTTAAAGAGGAAACAAATATTCTTTATTTAACAAAGTATGCAAGCTTTAGTTTAATTTTAGCTAAACAATTTTATAAATAATAAAGTTAATTTTTTCAATACCTATTTTATGTTTCGCGTAGTTTGAAAAGTTTAACATATTTGAAGCATTTCTTCTTAGTAAGATAAACAAATGAAATAATTAAATCATTGAATTACTATAAAAATTAAATTAACAATATAGAAATCAACTTAAGGTTAAAAATACTTCATGACGAGGAAGCGAAATTGCTTCACAATATCTCTGGTGATGTTTAGTGAGTGGGCTTTTTAATTTTAATTAGTATTTAAAGCAGAAAAAAGAATAAAGAGTTTTTAGATTGGCAACTTAAGCGAAAATAATTAGAGTTAGTAAACCATTATCTAGTAACTTTTCTTTATATCTAATTATTTGCTATATATATTTGTGTTCTGTCGTGACCTCAGGCGCGGTGCTTGTTCATCTGCGAGTTACTTTGTACGCGTTGTTTGTGTTTAGTAACTAGAAACTTCTTATATGTTTGTTACGTAATTAGTTTTATTAACTATAACGATTATAACTTCATTGAAAACGCAATTATTTTTGTAAGCCTTTGTTTAAATCGTAAAAATTGCTTTAAAAGATACATTACGATAAAAAACAGATAAACAAAATTAAATTTACATAAAGAATACATACTTTTTAAATAAAAAATAAGAATATACTAATAAAATCTATAGTTTATAATAAACTTTTAACATTTTGACAATTTAATATATATTTAAGACTTTTATTTTTGTAAACAAATAATATATTTATTTTTAAAACAAGTGATGCTAGAAATCTCAAAACGTAACAAATCGTTTCTAAAAACATTTCAACAGATTACTCTTTTTAATTCCGCTAAGTCTGCGTATTTTTTGAACCAATAGAATTAGTTTCTTCGTTAATTTGGCGGGTTTTTAGTGTTCGCGAATATTCTTTTTATTCTTTCGCATAAAGATGTTTTGAGAACATTTAAGTTTATTATGTTCCCA